TTTTATTTAAGCACACTTCTACTATGTGTTGCTACCCTGATGAAGGCCACAAGCCGAAATGCGTTGGTCAGTCGATAAAGTTGTTCTTCTTCCCTTTAAGTGTTGCTGGAGTTCCTGCGTTGTGTCTGTTTGGACAGCAAATGATAATAATTTTCAATTATTTATCACAGTCAGTTGCTTTATTGTTGGAAAGCAATTGCATGTAATTGACTTGACCCCATTCAGACTGACAGCAACCTGACTTTGTTTCATTGTATCATTTATGGCAGGTTTTAGTGGCAGTGTTGGTTTATTGACAATCTCATTTTATTTTTGCATTGAAAAATTATTGAAGTGAGAGAACTTTATGTTGTTTTTATGTTGGATTATTGCAATAATATCATCATATTGTGAGTGAAGTGTTTTGATAAGAAGGTACCATGGGGTGATTCCCAGCTGTACACAGTCACCCACCAAAACTGGAGCAGCTACTGCTCGGATGGTCTGTTAATACAATGAACCACACAACAAACCATGCTGTTCCTCAGTTTGTATTATAAAAGCTCTAAGTGGCACTAACACCACAAAACCAGTCCAGAGGTCGAGTTCACTGATTTGACCGAACTAGGATGACGCCTAGCAGATAGCTACCAGCCGAGTTGGCACTCCTCTTTAACTCACAGCGCCTTTGGCCCTAATAATGCGACACAATTGCCAAAACCATTTTTCTCTACTAAGCTGTAATTGTGTTTGTTTGTGTTGTAAAGTAGGGCATTTTAATGAGGGAGTTTGTGGCGACTAACTTGCTCTAGGAGTCAGGCCCGAGTGGTTTAATTTTTCAGAGCCAGAGTTTGCTTCTCGATGCTTTCTTTTCATCTGTATGGCCATGTAAACAGAAAACCAACTCCTTGGATTAGATATTTCGTTGTTTTTCCCCCAATTAAGGAAACCTTCAGTGTTTATCCTTTCAGTGAAAATGCTGAACCATACCTGAAAATTCAGCTATCACAGTCAGCCTGTTTTTACTTTTTCTCTTTATCGTTATCATCCTCCTCGGGATTTTCCATTATTCCCCCTCTTCCCACATTATTGCGCTGTCATAATAATGAGAAGACCATCGCTAAAATGATAGGTGGTTCTGACGATAGTTTCTGACGTGTTATTGGCCAAACTGTGATCTGAATAACATCAGAATAACACCTGGATCCACATTCCAGTCTGATCCACCGGGGAGCTGCGAAGGACGAAAAGCCAGAAGAAAGCTGCCGTGACTCAAAGGCAGAAGGAAAAACACAAAAGCGTACCAAGCCTACAACTTTGTTATTCAGAGCACTGGCAGATGTCTTCCAAGTGCAAAGATCTTATCCACAGGCAGTTTCTTCACAAACAAAGTATCCTTGAAAGGTGCAGTGCAGGCGAGATTGCTATTGATTTGAACATATTCTGCAAATCTCTTTGTTTCACATTCTGGCCTGGACAACACTATTGCACACAAGTCAGCTTTAAGCCTAACCTACAAACTTCTTTGTGCTCTATAGACAATTCGATATTTTGTGAGAAAGAGTTAAAAAAAAAAAGGTGATAAGTGGGATTTGACTTAATTGTGTTTCCCTATTTGCAAGCTAAGAGCCGTGTCGAGGCAACCAGCGTCGCCTGCAATAAGATTCTCATCCAAGCCAAGAAACAGCTCCGGACATAATTGCAAGAAATATTGCAAATTGTTTAATCCACACAAAAAAACAGAAGATATAACTTGTTAATTAGTAAGATTTAGAAGTGCTGAGGGGCAGAGTTTGTTACCTTCTGGCAGAGGCAGGAGAGCTGTTTCCAGTCTGTGAGCTAATCCAAGCTAACAGAACTGCAGACTGTAGCCTTATTTTATCCATACTGACATGAGAGCAGTGCCGGTCTTCTCATCTTACTCTTACAATGTGCATACATGCCAGTATATTTAACAAGTTCCTTTATGGTTGGATTTAATTAGCAATCTGCTACAGTCATCTCCAGCCCCATATTTTTGTTTTGGATCTTCACTAGGATGGCTTTGCATGATTTCATCTCATTTCATCCATTGATGTAGTCCCTGTTCATGGACTTCAGTGTTTTAGCTCCCGTCTCTTAAAGGCCAGACGCCCTCAAAGCTCACTTTTCTTTGAAGTAACAATGATTAAATATTAGCTTCTTGCATGGCTTTGTCTGTATGCTGAGTCGGTCCATTGAGTTTTGTGGGCATCTGCGTATGCAGAGCGATCTCTCACTTCAGTCAGGTTGAGGCCTGGACTTTGACTGAGTCATTGCAACGCTTTAATACTTTTCTTTTTCTGTTGGAGATCTGCTGCTGTGCTTCAGCCAACATGTCAGACACATGGCTTCATATTTGATTCTTGGATACTTTGATTTACAGAGGAGTTCATGGTGCCCTGGTCCTGTATCTGCAAAAACAGGCCTAAATCATCAGCCCTCCTCCCCCATGCTTGACAGTTAGTACGAGGTGTTTGTGCTGATATGTCGGGTGCTGTGCATTATGGCCGTACATCTCCACCTTGGTCTCGTCTGTCCAAAGGACATTGTTCCATGTGGTTTGTCGAGACCTAAACCATCCTGCCATGTTCTGTTACAGAGACGAAGCTTTCTCCTGGACCCCGTTCCAAAAAAAGCTGTGCTTGTTCAGCTTTTTTCTAACTGTACTGTCATGAACTTTAGCATTTAACATGCTAACTGAGGCCTGCAGAGTCTGAGATGTAGCTCTTGTATCTCTGAGCATTGCACGCTCATTGTGTTAACACTCACCTGAGTGCTCCAGACCAGCAGTCTACCAAAACTTCTGCTTTTGTAGAAGCGCTCACACTTGCTGATGATCAGATAATACGCACCTGTCTGCTAGCTAGCAATCCAGCTTCATACCAGTCTCTTTTGAGCAAATCGTCCTCTGTGGTGTTGGCTTTTGGCTTTTGTTGGTTCAATAGAACAAACTGTATGCATTGTTCTCCTGTGCTTCTCTAGGAAAGATTTGACTTTATTTCACAACTGGAAAAAAACCTCTACCTTACTTGTAGAGCACTGCAAAAACTTGTTAAAAAAGCGTTATTATCAAGAGCAAACGCTACGGCTGTGCAGGCATCGACTGTGTAAGGAAAGATGATATCAGCCGGCCCAAAGAATTGGAAACTTAGCAGACTAGCAGAGCCGTCTGAAGCCTTAGCTTATGGGTTGCAGCAATTAATTGTACATCCACTGACCTCATTAATTGAAACTTTGGACCATGTTTAATATGAGAATCCACTTTTGTAATATTATATATATATATATATATATATATATAGCAAAAAAGGGAAAAGCATGAAAGAGCCACTTCAACAAATTATAACACATCCTGGGAGCTTAATGGCGAAGGTGCATGCCTCAAAACCGCACTGTCCACAGTTCAGCAGAAACACAGAGTCAGAGAAGTATTTGAAAGTTACACCAGCACAGAGACACTTTGTTGAGCGCTGTCGCCCAGAAACTTGCTTTCAGTTACTGGAGCCGTCTCAGCGCTTTACTACTGTGAAGGAAACGATGATTATGTAACGGGGGTGTTTGGGGCGAGCGCTATGTGGTATTAAAGGGCTTGCAGAGCAGCTGGCAAAGGAGAAACACACACAGA